AATCAATGCATATAAAGGCTTTTTCCAAATTCAGGTTCTTTTTATGAGGACAATGCTACTTGTTAAGTGGTGATGAGTTCTTTCATCAGTAACCACACAATATCTGGTCGTTGCTTTATTCGTGATGATAGTGTCTACTGTTGTTCAATACCTAGAATTATTTTTTCATTAGGTGGTGACAAAATGGTAATATTCTAATTTTATTCCTCCTTCATTTACTAGTCAGAATACTTCTACAAAGAGAAAATCCCCTTCATTTATTTGGTTACCCTGCAGGACAGTTTATGTAGGAAAGTTAGGCTAAATGCTTCTTTCCCTTTTTTACTTTTACCAGTTCTCAAAATACTAAGTGCATTGCTTACCATCCTGCAGTGGTAACACATTTTTGTGTATCATTACAATTTCATAGATGTAAACATTATTTGATATATTCAATCCATTTTCGTCATTATCCTGATTAATGCTCAAACTGTCCCATTTGTGGGGCCAGTAGAGGTCTCCTCAAATTGTCTCCTAAGTCCTTTTGACATTATTCTAGCAATCTTTGAATTTCCTTGCTAGCTGTTCTGAGAAGTCCTTAATTTTTAACTTCAGTAGAATTTCAGGTATCAGAAACTTTAAAAGTATACATTTGGCATTAATCCAAGATTGAAAATTGCACATATAATAGATTACTATCTTTAACATTTTACATTTTAAAAACGATACTGGACCACATTTGACTCAATAATACAAACATAATACCTAACACACAGCAGTAGAAACACAACCGTTCGTTAAAGAATTACTAAATTTGTTAATTCTGATAAGCAAAAAGATAGTAAAAAAAAAATATTGCCCACCATTAATACCCTTTCTTCACGGTGATTTCTAAAGTAATCCACAGATGGAAGACTAGTCTTTAGTTTAGCACTTACTGTTCTACCAGCCTGGACAAGAACTTTCTTATCACTGCATGTACAGGGTTGTTTCTTCATCAGGATTGGAGAGCTACTGGTATTATATCTTATCATCCGTCTAGCCACAACAACCACACTTCTCTGATTTATTTTACTGTTATCACATCTGTAGCTCCTAATGACTAACGCTACTGATCACCACTTGTCCCCTCTCTCCAAGCCAGTTTGTCACCTACTACTTACTCCGGCTGTCAGAGAAAATCTGGCACTTTTTTCAGTCTACAAACAACAACGAAAAGAAACTCCTTTTATTTTAATGCAAACTGAAAATCCAGTCTACTGTATATATTGTTTCTGCAACAATTAAAAACAAAGAAAAAGATTTCTTGCAGTGTGAATTTATTTGTGGCTAATTTCAGGACCAGAGTCAAGCTTGTAGCCTAGGTCCTACAGATACCAGTCTCCTTACTTAAAAGACTATTTCAGCAGTTTTTCCCAAAATTTCTAAAGCACTGACATATAAAATCAAGTAATTGTTACACTTATTTTTTAAAAAGTTACTGTGAACTTAAAATACATAATAATACAGAATGCAAAGACAATTATCCTTCATGGTATTATCTATCACAGGAGAAACCAGAAACAACTTAAAGGTTCCCTAATAGAAGAATGACTAAAGTTATGGCAGGTCCCTGTATTTTTATTATGTATTCGTTAAAAACTTTTCATAACAAGGAAAAATACTCATGTTATAATGCTGCTGCATGAATAAAAGCAGGAGATTAATACAGTATGATTTCGACTATTAAAAATGTGACTGGTGAAACATCTGGATTATTCATAATTTTTTAATATAACTTTATACTCTTCTCTATTAAAAAATGCCTATAAGTGCAGGCACAGTGGCGCATGCCTGTAATCCCACCACTGTGGGAGGCCAAGCAGGAGGATCTCTTGAGCCCAGGAGTCTGAGGCTGCAGTGGGCTAGGACAGTGCCGCTGCACTCCAGCCAGGGTGACAGAGCGAGACCCTGTCTTGAATGAATGAATACGTGCCTACAATAAAAACAGAAACTAAAAATATATCCATTGATAAATTATCTGGGACTTCATCAAGGTCTTACTAACATCATCAGCACAATTCGTAGTATAGTCTAATATTAACACATTGAGTATTTCTGGTTTATTTCAATCCTTTCAGCTAGGCAAAACTGCAGGGAAGTCTTAGCTCAAATCATGTGGCAAGCACAAGAGCGACCTGGACGGAGGAGCTCAGGACTACTGCCGATGCGATCTCTCCAGAACAGGGTAAGGAAAAGGGAATCCGTCTTTAGTGAGGAAACGCGAGGAGATGCCGACAACTTTCTGGGCTGCATCTTGACATACATCTCTACCGCCTTGTCTAATTCTCCTGATATTTGCTTAGGAAAAGCAAAAACAGCAACAACACCTCACATACTAAGAACTTACCAAGTGCTAAATGCTTTACCTATATCATTACATTTTATACTTGAAGACCTATCTCAACATCCATTCACTTCTCTCCGTCTCTATGCTATCATGACCCAACCGCAACCTTGCTTGCCTGGAAAACTACAAGGCCCCACTGATCTCCTTATTTACACTTACCCTCCCCTTCCCGATCCATTCTCCACACAGTAGTCAGAGATACCAGTATTTTTAAATGTTGCCTTTTTAAAAAAGCCTGTGGCCTAAATCTAATGACTCACAAACTTCCTTTCACATGGCCCACCCTACCCCAGCCCAGCCACGGCACTTTTCTTTCTGCTCGTACCGTAAATACTACTTGTCTGGTCTTCACGGTTCCTCTCTGCTCTGCGCAGATCGCCCTTTCCTCCGGGTCTCCGCTTACCCTGCTCGTTTTCTGCCTTCGTGCCGTGGCTCCGTCATGGCCCATCAGAAAAGCCGGAGTCCCAGACGGCGTATCCAGCGAAGTGGCCCTTCCCAGCTACTTTCCAGCCCACCATCCTGCTTACCTCTTTCACAGCACTTCAGAGACGTGCTTATTTCCGGCGAAATAAAGGTGGAAACTGTGCCTGTCTCACTCAGCACTACGCTACCAGCAACTGCAATGCCTGGCACCTGTTTGTGGATGATTCTCACTCACAAAAACCCTATGAGGCCACGCTAAAGCTAGCTTCATCTTA